TCCACCTCAACCTCCACCGATTGAAGAAAATGACGGCTGGCTGAACTGGGGCAAGAAGAAACTTAAGGCTTCGACCGCTCTAGTTGAACTCGACAAGGATTCATCATCATCTGACCAAGATCTACCACCCGCTGTACCCGAGGCCCCTAGCGCCGCGGAAGGTGACGACTTCTGGGATGGTTTTGGCGCTGGCAAGGATAAGACCGAGAGTAATCTTATGCCGGACTCGATTGAGGAGCCCAAGAACGATGATATCTGGGGTCTTACTACCAGTTCGAAGAAGGATAAGAAGAAGAAGGGGAGCAAGAATATCCCTATCGAGATCGAGAATGGCTCTCATCTTAACGGCGTCAAACCCGACTCGGTCGAAGAGAGCAAAGGGCTCGATGATGATTGGGCTTGGGGGAACCTAAGTAAAGGCAATAAGACATCTCCACCTCCAGCGCCTACGCCACCTTCTTTAGCAATGAGCCTATCTGGCCAAGAACTCGAAGAAAATGTCTGGGATGATGCAAAGGCCGAGGACGACGAGCAAGCAGCAGCAGAAGCAGCAGCATTGGCGGCTGAGATTGCCGCCGAGGAGGAAGAACTTGCTACGCTAACAGCTAGGAGCACGAAGAAGAAAAAGAAACTTAGCAAGCTCGACCAGAAGAGACTTGACGAGCTCACTGAGAACGCCAGTCGTCGTGCTGAAGAGAAGGCTGCGAAGGAAGCCGAAGAAGCAGAACAACGAGAAGCCGAGGAGAGGGCGGCAGCTGAAGCGTTGGAGGCGGAAGAGAAGGCCGCCGCCGAAGCTCGTGAGGCGGAAGAGAACGCTGCTGCAGAAGCGCTCGAAGCCGAAATTGCCGCCGAGGAAGAAGAAATCGCCACGTTAACGGCCAAAAACAAGAGAAAAAAGAAGTTAACCAAGAATGACCAGAAGAGACTCGACGAGCTTCTCGAGAAAGCCCAGGCCCGTGCCGACGAGAAGGCCGCTCTTGAAGCCGACCAACCTGCACGACAAGAGGAAGAGGAAGATAGAGAGGCGGAAGAGCAGGCAGCACGGGAGGCTGAGGAAGAGGCAGCGCGGGCAGCAGAGGAAGAAGCTGCTCGGGAAGCCGAAGAGGCAGCTCGCGAAGCTGAAGAACAAGCCAAGCGCGAGCGCGAGGAGGCTGAGGTAGCCGCCAAGAAGAAGTCGAAAAAGAGCTCTAAAACCGAGGAGAAGAAGTCCAAGTCTAGCAGTAAGGATAAACTGTCTAAGAGGGAGCAGAGGGAGAAGGAACAGAGAGAGAGAGAAGAGAGAGAAAGAGAGGAGAGAGAGAGAGAAGAAAAAGAAAGTGAGGAGAGGGAAAAGGAGAATCGCAGGAGCTTCGACGACGACGACGACGACGACCTTGATCTTGACAATATCGACTTAGCTCCTGAACAAGTAGACGAGCTCTTGTCAGGCTTCGCATCTCCCCCCAAACCGTCGCCCCCGCCTGTCAAATCGGATGCATTTTCTTTCTGGGGTTCCAAGACTAAGCCTAAGAGCACGTTGCCCGAACAGGTAAGTGACACTAAAAGATCTGGAGCAAGCGAGATTAGATGTGCTGAGTCATCAAAGTTTCTCGAAGATGCGACAGTCGAGGATGCGCCATCATCCTACAAGGCTACCACAACTGACGACGATTGGATGAAACCTAAGAAAACCAAAACTAGAGGTAGTAAACTTTCCGAGAAGCTAAAGAAATTCGAACCAGCCAAAGAAGAGGAAGACGATGATCTGATTGATGCGCTGGCTGCTCCGCCGCCAAAACCACGTGTTCCTGTCGCGCCATCCTCCGAAGAAAGGTCGTCCAGAGATCTGTTTCCTGGAGCTTTCCCGGATGAACAAGACGATAACGAAATTATTGAAATCGTTGACATGGCACCGGTAGAGAAGAAAAAGAAGGGCAAGAAGAGCAAATCTAAGGCTGTACCTCCTGCCGTCTCCATGCCACCTCCGCCTCCCGAAGCACCCGTCCCACCACCAGCAGCGCCCGAAGAAGAGCCCGAAGACGCCGAAGCGCCCACAACACCTCCGGATAATAGGTCGTCTAGGAAGGAGCGACACAAGATTAGTCGCGATGCGGGCGCATCATGGGGAATGTGGTCGGCGACACCTCGCAAGGAGGAGAAGAAGCCTAGGCCGAGGTTTGAAGAGAGACCCAGGAGAGAGAAAGAGAAAGACAAATCATCTTCATCCAAGGGCTCATCATCCGACAGGGATAACAGGACAGAGGAGCGCCGAGAGAAGAAATCCGCGTCAATTCCCAAGCAGCGTACAAACAGCCTGTTTCAGAGCACCCCGCCTATTTCGCGTTCCATGTCGACCCGAGAGAAGCGTCCTGGCATGGGCAAGCCAAGTTCGCGCCGCCATTCGGTCGAGATGACAAGTGGTTTAGCGTCACCTCCACCCGAAGACATACCTGTGATGTCTTCTAAAGCCGCGAAAATATTTGGTGTTGACAAGAGCCAAAAGACTCGTAACCGCAAGAGCTCTAACCCACGCGCTCTGGACGAAGACGATGTCGTCATGGTTGGAGCTGCCGAACCGCCTTCGAGCCCCGAAAAGCCAGCTCGTAGGCGACCAAGGGTAAGGGCCCCCCTCCACACAAAACGCAACATCGCTAATCTAGAGCAGGTGAAGGTCGAGGATGACGTTATCATAGCCGATGGATTCCCTGCCGAGCCGACACCTCTCAAACGATCGAACTCGAGCGCTAAGAAAGGGTTTGCCGGTCTCTTCGGAGGACTCAAGTCTACCCCGCGCTCTGAAGCACGTCCCGAAGCACCACGTCGCCGCAGCACATATTATACCACAGATGACGAGGCTAGACCTGATAAGAGGCCTAGGCGATCCGTACGGGATGAGCGGGATTATCATGTTATGGATGCCGATCCGGTAGATGAGGAGAGAGAAGCTCGCCGTGCAGCTCGCCGTCAAAGGAAAGCGGAGGAGAAAGCCGCGGAGGAGGCGCGTCTTGCGAAAGAGGAAGAGAGACGCGAAAGACGCAGGAGACAAGAAGAGGAGACTGAGGCACGCAGACAAGCTGATCGCGAGACTCGACGAGCTGAACGTAGAGCTGCCCGCGAACGCGAGGCGGAGCGTCTTGCTGCTGAAGCCAAAGAGGCCGACAGAGCCGAGCGGCGGCGGCAACGCAGGCTTGAGAAAGAAGCTGCTGCCGCCGAGGAAGTGGAAGCTGAAGCTCGACGCGCAGCTCGGACCGAACGACGGCGGGCGCGGTACACTGAGCCTTCCGAGGATGAGGAAGAACGCAGGCGGAGAAGACACGAAGCTAGACGCGCCGAGGAAAAGGCTAACCGGAGGCGCACGATGCCGGCTGACGAGTACGTCTACCCCCCGGAAAGAACTTCGCGATTCGCGGTCGATGAACGTAGACGAAGCAAACCTGCAGCTTGGCCGCACTCGGGCACGGATTCTTGGGTGAAGGAGCACTCTGATGCTGGGCCACCCCCCGAGGATGGTGGTGCTGTCAACGATCCGCCCCCGATGGAGGACGATGAAGAGGCTCGCCGGGCCGCTCGCCGAGCTGCTCGTCGTCGCGCGAAATACGGCGATGTCGAAGCCGAAGTGGACGATGACCGAAGACGTCGCCGCGCACGCCGTGAGGAACGGGACCGTCGTGAAGAGCGAGACCGTCGCGAAGAACGAGAACGCCGTGATCGCCGCGTAGGTGGTTCGGATGGCAGCGGTGGGGCTGGAGGGCCGCGTGAGACTGTCTTCACTGACACGCCTCGGAGCAGCTGGTGGAAGAAGCTAACTGGTTCTTGAGAGGTTTAAATTTTTGGTTAGCGGGGCGTGGCCTCCTAATTGGCCGTTGGAGTAATATCCTTGATGTGTCTCTGCTCAATTCGTTGTTGCTCGAAAAGCATTGTTCGGGCTTGTACCATTCTTTGGATTGGTTTTCATACCATCCTCGTATACCCTTGGGGATACTACAGTAGCCCCCCAGCATAGGGTATCGTTGGCCTTGTTTTACTCAACTAAGGGGTTCGCGAATCTTGAGGCTTTTTGATTGTATTGTACGGCGTGGGATGTACAGTGTTTGGGTATGGTACGTCTCTGTGTGTACGAGTGACGTGGCAAGGCTGAGCGGGATGGGGGAAGCGACCAACATAGATTGGGGATTGGACTATCTACCCCAGACGACGCCCGACCCTACCCGATTGGATGACACTTATATGATTTCACATATCTATCATGTATGTTGGGAGCGACATAAAGCAGGAGTTTTTTTTTTATTGATGTATGGTTTAAACGATACAAAATCGATATACCCCCCTTAACTTATAGCCTCGTGATCCATTGGGTATGGGATAATTTTAAGTTAGCATAGCGTAGCATAGCATCACTCGTTTTATACCTAAAGAACATGGAATAATGAAAGATTCCAAGACACTGGTGTTTACTCATTGGTGTATTGCTGTGCTCGTGTCTGCTCACGTGAAGTTATCTATACATATGCGATATCCCTTACCCCCTAAGCACCTAGCCGCAACCTAAGGCTACTGCATATAGTGCTGTTTGCATGGGAAGACAAATATGTACTTACCTGGGTAGGTAGTCACAGCTCTATAAGACCCTATATGCTTTCAAAGCCTTGCTAAAAAGTACCTAGTCAAGTGTAATCTCGCGATAGTGGACGAGTAGGCAGGAGAATCGGCAACCATACCTAGGTAGATTATGTAGAAATAGACAAAGAGGTAGCTTCCAGTATCAAAAAGCAACTACAACGTCAAACAAGCCTATTCAGGGGGCTATAATCACGTTTACGTCAACGGCCCATCAAACCCGGGCAGGTGCCTTGGGCACAAAGGCAAGCACGCGTCTCAGACGCGTCCCGCATACCCCTATCGCGGGTCCGCTCGTCCTATGCTCTTTCCTGTTGCCCACCGTCCGGTATTTCGCCGGCGAGCTTATAAGACGTAATAGCCGTCAATCTAAACACAGATAGACGCGGGAACGCCGTAAGTAGGCACCCATGGAGCAGTAGTTTAGCTCATTCCCCTCCCACGGCCACGGCCAGGGCGAGGGAAAGACCCGGGTGCAAATCCCGGTGGGTGCAATAATTTTTTATATCTTTTTTTGGAGGGTTTGGTTTCGACTTGGTGTTGGTACTGGTTTATTTTCTTTTGAATCTCTCTAGTGCGTATCTAAGATAGCCATTTTCTGTCTCTCTTGCCCTCGTTCATATGCCATATTCCCTTGTTCAAACGAAGCCCTATCTACATACCAACCTAACCATCACTCAACATACCTCTTTCCAGACTCGCCTCTATCTCATCAAGCACTCTTCTCATATCAAGATCAATCTTCGGGATCTTAGTCTGCCTAGCGACTATCACACCCATTTCCTACCCACCAGTCTCTCAAGGCAACCAGGGAACCTGGGGCAACCGTTTGCAAACAACGAGCAAGCTTATAAGCAATGACAGACTTCTAATCAGTACCCACTGGGGAAAACCCAGTGGGATGTCCAAATGGTCTATTTGAATGCTCGAATCAACGTTTTTGCCACGGAGATGTACAAATGAAATCTGTGGGTTCGAATCCAGTTCGAAGTTATGTTTTTCCTCTTCTCAAGAGGGCAGATACTGTATTGAATAGGTATGGAATAAACTTTTGTTTGCTTAAATGTTAGTCTATGAATTGCCGTCATGTATTGTTATAAATCGCGTGGATGGTGAGATTTATGGTAGGTGAAGAAAAGGGGGTTATCCACACTCTGGTTGGAACACCCGAAGTTATTAAATATTAGGTATGCATCTGCGCATATACATGTATTCGTAAATTCATTAAATATTGCCATAGTCCTTCCATATAAATCGATTAATCTGTTTGGACAATCCGAGTCCTCTCACATGTAGCATTCTTGTCCACATCATACATATATATCAGACAGCAAGCACCAAGCCCCTGTAAGATCACTCACTCATCTCATGACACAGAAACGGTATGTGAATCAACGCGATCTTTTCCATCGACAAGCCCCAATCGCCACCCTATTCGGGGTGAGGCGATTCGATTTTGCCTACCAGCTACCTATTTGAGGCAATCGAGTTCATTGTACGTGTGCATATTGTATCGGAGACAGACAGATAAATGCCAGCCGGCCAGCCAACTAGCCATAACCACATCACATCACGTCGCGTGGAGGGTGGCATCGACGTTCCCGAAACAACATTAACCAAAAAAAAGAGGGAATCAATCCGTCCTCCCGTTTCTTTCCCGTATTTCCAGTTCAGTTCCCACTGCCCTCCCAGAATAAGATGATAATAAACGCCAACTCGCGACCGTCTGCATGTTTTAGACAAACGACGGCGCGGCTAATTATGCCTGTAAGGATCCCAAATGCCATGCCTAACGGTAAGAAGGGAAGGCTCTCATGTCCAACAGAAACCACACCATTTTCGGGTATTTCAAGAATCACACAACGTAGCTGAGTTACTCGTGGGCACTGAGGCGTCCTCGAGAGGGGCTCCCCGTCTGAGCCCTCGGTTGCTCGCAAGACGCCATTGCCGACATATAGTCAACTACCCGCCCATAACTTAGAAAAACAGAAAAGAAAATCAAATAACCTCGCCCCTCCAGAAGTAGTCGTAACGATATCTTCGTCATAGCACATTACAAGGGATGTATTGTATATAGGAAGGGCATTGTAGCCCTGTTCAAAAGCGCGGAGTAATAGTGTAGGGCGATAATGATGTAAGAAACACGAATCAAATGCCGGGATAATATAATACAGGGGAAGGGAAGTGCGAAATCAAGCGATACCGAAGACATAGCTAGTTAGATTCATTCCTCATTGGTGCTACTTTCATCGCCTTCACTATCGGTGGAGAGGTCTCCATATTTGGCTTTGTATCTCTCGAGCTCGGCCAGCTGGATAGCAAGGTTGTCAAGGACGACAGCCATTGGCGTTCGGAGATCGTCTAATGATTGAATAGGACCACTGCCCATGGCGATGTGTCGCATCGTAAGTGTAGATATGCAAGTCTTTGTAAATAATAAGTTAGCAAATATGAATGAACGACTGCAAGATTTCAGATCCATACCTCTATACGGCTCACTTGATGCTCCATGAAGTTAAACAGGAACCGCTCAGTAACCTCGCCACCGCGTTGTCTCATACGCTCCAGGAGCTCGGTCTCGGGAGGCTGTAAGCCTCTACCGGACATTTCTTCTAGAGAACTGCAAAGCATTTCTAAGCGCAGACTAACTTTCCAAAGAGCCCAAATGATCTCTGGATCAAATCCAAGATCGCTTCCGGCAGTAAGTGTAGCAGGTTTCTCGGCAACCTCGGCCGCTGTTGCAGCACTGTTATGATGGTCGATACGGCCGGCGAGGACATGCGGATAGAGAGAATAGATATACTCAGGGTTTTCGAGGCCTTTGAGCTTTCGTTCACCAATGTCCTTAACTTCGAATCCCTGAGAGCTAAGCGATTTCAATTCCCTTCTGATTGATGATGATCCCATATCGTCATCGAAGGTATCGTCAGAACCCGCAGATCCAACTCGATCGTTTTCTTGATATGTCTCGAGGCAGCGCTGAATCTCGGAAATGAAATCCGCTGATACAGTAATCTGACCTCCGTCGGCTACAGAAGAAATACGGGACGCCTTGTTCACCATCGGACCGAAATAGTCCATGCGGCGTGTGACGGGATCGATTTCAGCTACAGGCTCACCGTAATGGATGCCCATCCTGACCGATAAACCTCTGAATATGAGATTATTGTCTTTGTCGTACGTCTCCTGACAGGAAACTGAGTTGAGAATTTCCGAGGGCCAATCAACATTGAGCAAATGAGTCTGAACGGCGAAGCACCACAATAGTGCCGCGGTCGCCGTAGGGAAGGATACCATGAAAGCATCACCTTCAGTCTTGACTTCATATCCGCCGATTCTCCGGAGTTGTCGCCGCATGACCTCATTGTGAAGCTTGATTGCGGATCTCATGGCAGAGGGATACATCTCCCACAAATTAGTCGAATTCTTGATATCAGTGAAAACAATAGAAGGCTTGTCAGTCGGAGCGGGGACTTCGGCTTCAAGCCTGTGCAGTGTAGAGTCTTGGACCTCGCCCTTGGCCTTTCTGCCTCGCTTGATCGGATACTGAAATTCGTCTGGGACGCCGGAGGGATATAGCGACATGCTCTGCCCCCTATGCAGACGCGCAGACCGCTCCTGGCGTCGCTTGAGATCAGCGACGCTAATCATCATGATCATGATTTTTCCATTTGCGCCATAGGCGATAGCAAGGTCTCGCAACTTGTGCGCGGCACGCATAAGATCACCGCGTTCTGATCTAGTGACATCAACAATTAAACCGGGTGTGAGATATTGCCAGAGTTCTTTTGTTGCAATCAAAATCGTCTCGTCCTGTGGTGTGATCGAGGTCTGTGTAATATTGGGAGCTGCTTGTACGGCCGGCATCAAGTCAACGTAACCAAAAGCACGAGAAATATCGAGCATATCGTTGAGCTTTCCTTGGCGTGATACCCAGCCTCCAGCATCCCGTATTCGTTGGCGCTCGTTCGGCTCCGCAGGATCGTGCTTCCGAGTTAGGATCTTATGCGAACCGTCGGATTGGATAAGCATAGCTTGCGCATCGCCAACATTGGCAACGTAGAGCTCTTGAGCTTGAAGATATGCGACGGTAGCAACGCCTCCCGAGTTGAGGTCTTCTTTACTGAGGACTACTGGTGCTGACGAACCACGATGAGACGTCAACGGCCTCTTCTCGGTATGCTCGATAGCTACGGTGACAAGGTCCTTGTTGAGGGCAAGGAAGGCACGTCTAAGTGCGTCCATGGGAGTCTCGTTCTGGCGTGTCTTTAGAGCCTTAAGCTCCATCGTGAACATGTGCCCGAAATTTTCGTGCAGGTACTTGGCGATCTTAGAGCCACCACTAGACAGCGCCTGTCCATCGAACAAGCCTAGAAGCGTTTCCGAATCCGAAGAGTTATATCTCGGAACGACCAGATCAATAGTTGATAAGTGCTCGTTCCTCCCTAACGTATCAGCCATACCATATGGTAGATGGCCAGCTATTGAACCTGAGGTTCTGACACGGCGGTCTTCGCTCTGGTCTGGAATACTTGGATTGGTGAGAGTGACATCCATCAATCCGAGCACACGGAGGTTCAGCAGTCGACCAAAGTCAGTATACTGCTCGCGATTGACAGCTCCCGGGCCAAGATTTGTTTGTTTGATTTCCAAACGTTTGTTTCCTGACAAATTGAGAAATCGCAAGTTGGGATTCAAATTCCAGTTCCAATCGTACGGGACGTTTGAAATATTATACTTCAAAGAGTTGTTTCCACAGTCTAACACAGCCAGCTTTTTAGCTCGAGAGATATCCGCCGGGAGGTTCGTAAATTTGTTGTTATTGATGTGAAGCACCTGAAGCAAGCTATACTCCTCCAGATCATCAACCGGTAAACTAGTTAGATCATTGCCCGATAGGTAAAGTTCCACGAGTTGAGGCCAATTTTTTATGCAGCGCTGTGGCATGTCACTGAGGTCGTTATATGACAAGTTGAGAACGCGCAATTCGGCTAGCAGTATGATCTGCTCGAACACATCGTCATCGAGCTGGTTGTCGGCAAGGCACAAGTTTCTTAACGAGCCAGCAAATGTATTAGTCAGCCGATTGGAAAGTCCGGAGTCTTTTCTCAATGTCGCGGAGGGAGTCATAGTCCCATTCACACTACTACTAGCCGTTGTGGTTTTTGAAATGACCGAAGTTTTCCGTCCTCCCTTTCCGTAGACCGATACGACAGAGTTCTTCCGGTCTGCTCCATTAGGAACAGGAGAAGGACCGACGCTAAGCAACGTGCTTGACGCCTGGCTAGGTCGACGAGAACCGTCAGGCATGAGATCTTCGGAGCTAGATGTTTGCGATAAGGGCCCAGTCGGCGCTTTATTGCTGGGAGTAGGGGTGCCTGAAGATTCTCCGGGTACTTGAGGTGGACGTGAAGTCGGCTTTGGAAAATTCTCGAGCACGTTGGAGGAAGCATTTAACGTCTCCAGTTTATTTGCCCACCATATATCCATGGGT